AATAGGAATAATGCAAAACGTGCACAGTTAAAAATTACTTCCTCTGTTACTAAATACTCGTAAATATGTATGTTTGTCTCCACATGTTTATATTTTACGTAACTTTATATAGGTATATAGGTACTCACTTAACACACGCATTTACTTTTTTTAATAAACGCATTATGAGTCTAAATATTTATTTCCGTTTTATCCGAAATCTCGATTATCCAAAAGCACTTGGGTCCACATTATTTCGGATAATCGGAGTTCTACTGTAGGTACTATTGATTTTGATGTAAAATTTGTTTAGCAGGAACCAAAATACATGCTAATGGATCAGAATCTTTGAGCTCTAGAACTGCTTTTGACTCTAACCTGAAGTACAAATTGCAAAAGAAAGAGGTTGGCTTGCCAGTCTTAACGTCACTACGACCCAAATGGATGTACCTATTGCGACCCCCATACATACTTTCCAAAGCACCGTGTCCAGCCTTGAAGCGGAGCCTTGCATGGAACTTTCCGCTGCTAGGCGTTCACAGTGATGCAGGAGAGTTTCCTCATGCTCTCTGCAGAAATGGCATATGGAGACCCACTATAGCTCTTATGGCCTTCCTATTAAATCCCAGTAGGTCTTCAGTAAAAGCGATCCTTCGTTCTTTGCCTGCCTTTGCCCCAATTAGCTGTTCCATCAGTTTAAGGACTTTTTCTTGGTCGAATTTCTTATGGAGTGTTTAGTGCGCCACGCTACAGAAAGGCTATGGAAGTACGAGCCCCTTCCCACTTCAGTTGGCCCAGCTATCGAAATCTTAGTTTTTTTCTTATCAAATATCAAATAATAAAAATGTAGCAGGGTGTTACAGGTTTAAAATATTAACAATGAATACTTTGATAATATATAGTAGAAAACACCAACTTTATCACTCTCTAATCAAATTTGCAGCATAAAAATAACAGATGTTGCAATTACAACATATCAACCTATTTTCATTTCAATGCAAAATAAGTCTATAACGCATAAGTGGCTGTGAAAAATAAAAGCCATGACAATTGTGTATCAGTAGCTTTTGGCATGTACTCGTATAACTTCTATTTCTTTCAGAGCTGTACTAATATTTCTTAACAATTCACGATTGAAGGAAAAACGCATAAAAGATGTATTTTACACCAAAAAAATTGACAACACTGTTTTTTAGTCATCTCTATAGACACCATGAAATAATCACTTGAACATGATTTAGAGTACTGTTTCAAATAGGCAGTTGAAAAAAGGCGCATGCGATCTTAAAGTAAAATAATTGTAACGAGGAATAAGGACTACATTTTCAGGAGAAACATTGTCAAAAGGTCGATCCAAGCTGACCGGATGTCTGTTTCACCGTAAATCTCCGAAAAGCGACATCGCATTAACAAACCAAATTCACCTGGAGGACATACACGGCCGCACACCTAAAGATATCTCTGAGCGCGGCCGGAGAACGCGTGTCAGGACCATTTTTTCTTATCGAGAGGAACGGCGTTATCTTGACTTAAATGATGGAGTAGGTGTGATTTAGAGCCCAAGGCCATTCTGTGATTCCGGCCCTTGTTTCATTCACGAGTTGGTTCCATTCTGGTTTGGAGATGGTACCTTATCGGATCATCTGATCTCACTTTAATTAATCGACTAGGTACGCCGACCGGGTCATTTCCATAGCCTGTTTCTGTAGTAGAGATAAGGTGAAAAAGTAGACTTTTTTAGGATGTTTAGTAGTTGTTTTTTCATTGAGAAGCTGGCCGAAGAGGCATGTAGCACCCACTGAAGCATTTCCGATTCAAGCTCTCATCCTTATCGCACCCATTCTAGTGATTTGTGGTACAGCGGTCGTTTTAAGCATGGGCTTGACAAGTAGATGGACGGAACAAATTTTTTACTATGCTCCGAAATGATCAGGCCAAAAATGTGAAATCAAACGCGGAACCCCGTTCTACTGAATAGACTTGCATAAAGTCTTCTCTAATCGTGATTAGGTACGATGAATCTTCGATGTCTGCATATTGAATTATACTATATAAATCATATTTCTGTTTTCATATAGAGAAAATATGACCTTATGTCTAATAGGTGCATAGTGTCACTTAGATCAGCAGCTTTTTAATAATCATCAACGTGAATGCCACCCTTAAATCCACATATATATCGTTAAAATTATTATATTCAAACCGGCACATTCATAATTTCAAAACGCGGAAAAAACTTGTTGAGAGTCTTGTTATGTCTAAAATATTTTATTCGCTGGTTCTTTATTATCCTTGTATTAATTATAACACTAAACATGGACTGCAGAAAATCCAAAACAGTTGTTGTCGGTTTTTATATGGCCTCAGAAGGTATGATGACGTATCGTCTAAGATAAAAGAGCTAAAATGGCTAAAACTTGATAAACACTATACTTTCTCTTTGGGTGTATTTGTCCATAAATTGATTTCCACGAGGTCAACCATTTATCTTATGGACAAACTTGTACCTCGTGGTCAAGTCATTTCTAGAGCCCTACGACATAACCATCTCTTCGGTATGCCATTCCACAGAACATGTATATTCCGAAGATGTTTTACGTACAATGCTATCAGGACTTACAACTCTGTCAACCAGGTACTCAAGTCCAAAAGCTTACCTGTTTTTAAAATTAAATACAAATCTACTCTTTTGGAATTGCCTTTTTAAAAATCCCTGATAATTATCCGACTGATTTTGTAGCTTTTGTAAATTTTCCATGCTTTATACATTCTGTAATTGTTCATTGTTTTCTTTTTATTTTTCTGTACTGTACTATTGTCCTTATTATTATTATTATTTTTTCACTTCGTTTTTTTCGTTTTTGAGGTTAAGTGGTAGAGTAGCCATGTGGCTAAACTTCGCCTCAATTCGAAGGTTTCAATAAAGTTCACAGATAGGAAATTTGAAGATAATGTGGATGGTTGAAATGTATTCGTCGAAGTTCCATTACCTATATGGTTTTGTTAATTCACCACGTTCTGATTGACATGTAATCTTCAATTGTCGTAAGGAGAACTGATACCAAATCATAGTTTGTATCACTGGAAATAGTGTATGGAAATTACAGATCAGTGAAATTTGTGCATAAAAGTTTCATAGACAAACAAAAAATCGTTGTAACTTTTTAAATTGTGCACAAAAACTTTACAAAGAAGAGTATCATTAATGAGACAAAAATATAAAGATTTCTGTGAATCCTCTTCAGTTGTATTACTGACGCTTTCCATCATAACAGTTACCTATACGTAAAGAGTGACCTTAGCCTCCTCTGATAATCTGGCTCTCAAGATTTGGTCTTCCCACTTTTCAAAAATGTATGGTGGCTAATATACATAAAGTTTCCTCTTGCCAATCTGTTATGTAGTTGAAAATATGCTAAGAGCGGTGAAGTATACATACGGAAGTAAATAACTACGAATCCGAGTCGGATCAGTTTGCTTTCTAATCTTTTGTAACTGCACTCAGAGTTTTACACAATATCAATAATCGGTTCATCCACAAATCTTTATTCAGGAATGCCGATACTAAGCACAACATAAGCTTCAGAATAACCTACCGTTTATCATCTAGTGCGTCCTCAATCAGAGCCAGCTATCCAGGTTACTTTTTTCAAGTTTTTCAAAAGTCTTATAATTCCGGACATACGCTAATTTCAACCTATACCCGAAATATGGTCTGATGAACCGTTTTTAGTAATTAAAATTGTAGATATAAACAAAAAAGCTCCTTTTCGTGTTACAAAAAATATCAGGCCACGTTTCAGCTTTCAGCCGTTTCAGGAATACGCATTTTCGTCAACCGAATACCCGAATATTCGGTACGATAAATAGTGCGGGGCCATTAGGCATTAAGAAATAATTATTGCTATCAGCAATTTCTATTTTTAATGGACAATTGCTGGAAGCTAACTCTGGCTTTAAAGACATTATGGGAGTGAGGCAGTACCGATAGGTCAACAGTATTTTCGTTGAGTAGGATATTCCTAAATGATTTTTATAGAAATCTTGGCAGATTGGGGAAAGGGAGACAAAACGTCGGCAAGATAACTTTTTGTGAGAGTGTACCTGTCCCCAGATCTTTTTGAGGAGCGGTGGGTATCAAATTTTGTCAGAGGAGGAGGTCGTGAATGTCCCCAAGATTGTACATAAAACCATGCTAAATCTGCAAATTTTAGAAAGTGAAATCGGATCTTTGAGAGGCACCACCCACCCCCTGCAGGTGCCCATATTTGCCAGAATACAAGATCTATTCTATGAATTGTACTTTTTTTTGTTTATATCTAACTTCAAGTTTCAGCTTCTACGAGTATTTTGTATTTGTTTGCTTATTATTAACAAAGGAAAACCCCAATGATCCAAACAAGGTAATAGTCCTATCTCAGATTTTTCGTAGCATTTGTCAATCCCTTTGGTGGTTATGTATCTTGGAAATATAAACGATTACGTAGGCCTTGTCCTCAAATTTTTGTAATATGATGATTATTCAAAATAAATGTGAATTCAAATGAAAAAAGCACTTATAGTGGAAGTGTATCTTGCATTGTACTTATTTTAACTAGATCATTACTTTTGGTTTATATTAACGATTTTATCTCATTTCTCGAAACATACACTGTAATTCCGGTTGAATCCGAGTAATTTATTGTTGAAGCCAAAAGTTATCTGAAAACCGAGTTTGAAGTTTCGACTACATAATTTTGGGGAGCTCAGGCATGTCCAAATGAAACATTTTTTCTTGAGTAGTTTTTTTTAAAGATATCTACAGTATGTGAAGATGAAAAGCAAAATGGTGTGATAACTGGAATAAAGGTTTGACAGGAATTTTACAAAATCTTTTTATGATGCTCAATTTTTGAATATGTTTAATTTGATATCATGTTTTACTAATATTTTTCTAATAAGGAAAGTGTAAATAAAACTCATGCACATTTAATATAGTCTCTGTTAATATTTAATCAAGACAATCATAATTATAATATTCCTTCTATACATACATCTATTTACAAAACAGATAAAATAATTTATAGAACTCTGCGGCTGAAAGCCAACAAAAATAATGTTAGTTTCAAATATATATAATAAATCTTACAAGTTGATCCATGATATGGTATTCTTTATACACAACATTGTCTAAGTAATATTCAAATCAAATGAACATTTAACGATTAAAACGTATAATAAGGTAAAAACCTGAAAAATACGATAACTAGGTTCGATTTGTGACAACAATTTTACAAACGCAGGTGCTGACAGAACGAAAGAAACAATTTTCTCTCGAGGTTTTTTTTCTATCCGAAAAGGTCAGGTGTATATTTTTCGTTAAGATACTGGTTGTAATGCAAAGCGAATTCATTCTTAAATATCACACCTTTTTTGGTTGGACATCTGAGAATAAATGGGTTTTAGATATATTGCACAGCTGTTTCCGTATAGGGAGATTTATGAAACCTGTAACATTTCATCGTCTACATCTACCGCAATTATTCACTCAGATGACAAAAAAATATGGTGTTTCAAAATGAATGTGATCGAGTGAGTTCAGATCTGGCTAACATTTAAAACTTACATACAAACAGAGTTTGTTCTGAAATATACAAATTAAGAGGTAATAATGGCCTATCTACAATGTCCAACTCTTATCTACGACAGTGTCTCAAGGAAGATACAGCACGTTCAAAGTACTGAACTGATTGTGCAAAATATTGCTGTGGGCACGTTTTTACACATTATATCGTCCAGATCTGAACTCAATCGGAAATCTAAATATACACCTTGACCGTATCGAAAAAATTCTTGACCATTGGAAATAGTAAATATCTAGATTATAAGGAGGACTGGAAAAATTGTGTATGGGCTGGAAGTTGTCAATTTACTATTCTGGACCTTGTACAAGATTTTTGAAGAATCATCATAATGTGAATAAACGAAAATACTATGACATTCTGCAGTCGAAAAAATATTCACACAACGATTAAAATCATAATATAATAAGGATCTTTTCAGAATTAAAATGGCCCCGAGATTTTTGGATAACGAAACTGTGCAACTGACAATACTCTTTGTAGTGGCCAAGAATTTGTACAATGTGATGCATATTCAGATTAAACGCGTTCCAAATCGGAATTAGAGTTCCCTCATTGATTCTTTATCTTTTCCATATATCCTGATTCAGAATTTACGTTCGATCCAAACACGCAATGTAAGATACTGACAATTCCATTTGTCCTAAAAATATTTGAGTCGGAGGAAAACCGTTTTCCTTCCCCACTAACCGACGGCCGTACAAGTTCCGACGTTGCCAAGTCTACACCACAACAAGTTCTTTATCACAGATATAAATAAATGCATTTACACAAAATATACAGCAGGGAATTGCGCATCCGGTAGCACAATATGTTGCACGAACGTTGTATATTTTTGTAGGTATTTTGCACTTTGCCCTTAGAAGTTTGTTCGACATGTTACAGCTGGTACACCGTTTGGCCGCACCTGAAACAATACAAAATCAGTTGTTACAAAAAATAATTTCAACACTGGAAAACGTAATTAGCATGTAATCATAAAAATATTTGACTTTTACGAAAAAGTGAAGGATTCAAGAAGGGTTCTACCAAAAACTTTTGTCAACTTTCTCGACGCGTCATTCTTTTCATTTACTTAATTTTTTGTCTCTAAAAATAGGCCATCTCTGACTCATCCCTTTTCTTTCAATCCATCAACGAACGCGTAGGACGTATAGAGTCAATCCACTCGACGCCACTCTTTTGTGTGAAAACCTGAAACGTTCTTACGAGACATAATTATATTTAGTTCCTTTTGAACATCCGTCACTGGTTCAGGTCCCGGGCCCACGCTGAATGAGGTACGATCCGCGCTCGCTATCGCCACCTCAACGACATTGACAAATGACGGCAGATTTCGATCAGTGAATGGGCTTCACGACGACGCGACGCTCTCAGTCTCTCTCTCGTAAACTGGCGTCGAGGAAGGGTGAAGAGAGATGAAGGGGGGGAAGGGGCATGCTACGATGGTACCTGCCCCGCTGAGAGAGAGACCATTGTTTCAAAGGATCATCGATTTCTGTACCGTTCGCGAGTAGTACTCTTTAACCGGACTGGAGCTACACGATCACGCACCGCCGAAAACGAGTACCGAGGGTTTTTTTGTTGACGGAAAAGGTAGAGGGTCATGAGGTTAAGGCTTGTTGGTCCGTCCCGATTTTTTCATTCTGGTATTGGGTACTGCTTGATACGAAAATTATCTCAACAGTAATAGTAAAACAGACTTAAAATGGATATTTTATATAACAATGTGAAAAGAAGCAGTACACCGAAACAGTGTCATAATAGAGAGAAACTGGTAAAGGAAATTATTTAACGCAAAAAGAGGACCCTTATCAGAGGTACGTAGTATTTATTAAAAACGTTGGGAACCATGAAAGCAAAAACTAAAGTGTATACTGCATTATTTGAGATAGATAGAAAACGTGTAAATCTAATATCTACGACAATTTACGCAGAGAATTCAGGTTTGAAACGTCCTTCTTTATTAAAAAAAATACAAATAAAAAAAACACCAACCCGAGAAGGATTGAGAGGCGATGCTTTTACTGACATTATCCTTGAGTCAAATAGTTCCTTCGCGAACTAGTTTCCAGAACTAGTTCTTTTTGGTGAGCGCGACCTATTGAACCTGTTCACAAAAATGAACTAGAAAGCACATATCTAGTCTTTACTAAGTACAGCAATGCTGCATAAAGATCTGATAATAAATTGAGGAAATGAAATTGATATGGGTTTCAGGTGACCGATAAACGGGCAGCGTCGTTATTTATTAGCTCGGGACTGCCGTCGGGCAAACGTTTTACGCGTTACAGCGTAATCGAATCATAAGTGTTCATTATGGGCGCCATTAAAGGCTCGCTTAATGGCAAAGAAGCAGATCGAATTGAATAAAAGCGCCACCCGCGGCGAACGTTGCCGGGTATTGTTATTATTGTTATGCTGTTGAAACCGATAACGCTAACAAAAAGCTATTACAGGCATGTTTTCTATTTCAGATTCATCTACGATTTGTTCGGTAATAAACTTAATAACATAATGCAGATATCTGATCGGGAAAAATTGGTTATTTATTTTTTATCGACGTTTATCTCAGCATACGAAGAAAATGTATTAATTTCAATTATCTTTATACAATAATTCTCAATTATGTTTACAGCATATGACTTTGTGAATGCAAGAAGCAATTTAGTTCGTGACAAAGTAACAAAACGAAAACCAAAAGTTCGCCAAAGCCAAAGCAAGGTATAGAAACTTGACGACCTCAAAAATTTACAATTTACATTTTTCCCCAGGCATTTTTTTCGGGTGTTTAGAATCATACCGAACAAAAAGATATACTATAAAGTTTCCTCTAAATTTGACCATTTTCGATTTATGATCGATTTAATATCTAAAAAGCCCGAAGAATGGGTATATTCAACGCTCATAAATTCGGTTAAAAATTATGATTTTTGCTTTGTAAAACATTGACGGGTATTTTGAGATTACTTTATTTTTTAACCTTGACCGTTAGGCCAACATTTTCAAATTCTTGGTGTTTTGCACACTGTGCTTGACAATCAACAATAATCGCAGTTTCACCTTTCAAGCATGAACACTATTTTTTCAGACAGTACAAAATTAGCCAGAAATTCTGACTTCTTACACTGGTCCCGTATCTAGAAACGGTAAATCATTTATCGTGCTTATATATTACAATATATCGCTAATATATATTAATAAAAATGTGAGCTTACCGAACCAGTCTAACGACTGATATTCTGGGAGGCAAGAGACGGACAAGCACAGGTTCAGACTGGCGAGACAAAGCCTCCATTCATGCTTTGGGAACTACAATAACAAACAAACGATCAATTAGTACAAAGATCTGCATCATCATCATCATCGATCATCGTAACTGTCTCATAGTCGCATTTTGTGCAGTCTATCGTCATATCAATGAGAAAGTAGCGCAAAATGAATATAGCTGCCTGAACAATCAAAGTAGCAAATATATCAAGTGACAAAAAAGCACCCAGCAATAAGGAATTTATTTATTATTCTACTATCAAACAATGAAACAGTGACGCTTCTTCCTTGGGGAAGGGTTTTTAAATTTTTATGTCACAATAGCTTGTAACAGTTCTCAGAACAAGCTGTCATCGATCTCAGAAAGATTTTTCGTTGCTGACCGTATCTTGATGACAAAAATTCGGAGGATTTGGTTTATTGCAATAATGCAAAATAATAATTTGTTTACTTCCTCGAATTTCGGCTCAATCACAGAGGAGCAAGAATCTGAATATAGGCAATCTGTTGCACCGAAAATTTCAGGTCATCTGCGAACAACAATTCAAAGATTGACACAGATCGTTAATGAATAATATGAACAGCAACAGTCCCACATTCGAACGATGTGGAACACCACTTGTTGAGAGCATGTGATGATGTAGTCATAGTAGAAAACATACTGTTTCCTTTCAGATAGAAATGACGTTAAAAGCGATACGTAAGCGTTGTTGAAACCCAAATACTCAAGCTTTTGAATTAAAATACTCTCCACATCCATCTGTCCTCTGTTGCACAAATATTGGCTCTCTCTCTCATGAAACCATCTAAATGGATGGAAATACCGTAAACGTTATAGTAATCATTATTGAAATGGGTAATAGGAGCGGTCAAAACAAGTCAAAAAGTTCACACGACCCATGGTCCAAAAGACAACAAATTTTTGTCTAAATGGCTTTATAGTTTACAACTTTAAATGCTTTATATCCACCACAATCTTACTAATTTTTATAATCTAATCTAAAACTTTTTTAAATTGGGTAATTAACAAATAAATGGCATTAAGTTTTTCTAAGTTAAGCCAAAATTTGTAGTCAGTAAGTAAGTTTCATTAAATTAAATATTTAAAACATACATGACAACAGCGCGTCACAATCCATCAGAATCGCCGAAACCGACGAATCATTAGGAGATCACTAAAGGAGTGGTGGCAAATCTTTAACGACCGGCGAACGGGTGGTAAAAAGAAAGAGACGGAAACAGCCGAAAAAAATAAGACGATCGGCCTGTCGCAGATAACGTGATGATGGTCTTTAATTGTGGGAAGAGGCTTGGTCTCAGATAATGCAGCTTGTTTGTTTGGACGACGGTTTTTCTCTTTTCTTTCGTTAAGAGTCTCGACGTTGAAGTGTGACTGATTAATTATGCGTCTCGAGAGGTGTGGAAAAGGGTAGGAATGGATCATTCTAAAGTTTCGACTCTCGGCGGCGACGGAATGATGGGCTTCAAGTGGATGTATCTGCTTTTCTGCAAAGAGGTTACAAACAGAGTGAATGAAAGCGTAAGATACTTGAAATAATACTAGAATGATAAGTTTTACTATCTAATCAGACAAAATGAGATAGACGCATATTATTGGCAGACAAAGTATATATTAGAATAGAAGAAAACAGAACAGAATGTTTTTATCAGCTATATGATGTAATGATAAATATCAGCTTAGTCGAGTGCACCTTGGCAGGTCGAAAAGTGTTCCAATGACATATACAAATAATACGATTATAACGTTTGAACAAAAAAAAGAGCAGAAGAAATGGTACACAATGAAATGGAAGTGATTAAGATACATATTATGAAAACGTTTATTGATCAAGATTATTTACATCTGAGAGGACCAGACTACTTTTTAGGTTTCTTTCAAATATTAGCAATGAAGTTGGGTGTTTTAAAGTATTTGGTAATAGGCCAAAATAGACCTGGTGGGCTTCTTGGAAAACGTGAGAAAAATTGTCAACATAAAAGTCTCTCCTATTTCTAGTATGATGGTCATGAATATCACGATGCCTTTTGAAAGTAACTTAATGTATACAAGCAATTTAAAAAGATATATTCGAACAACTGTTAATAAGTGATTCTCAATAAATGTATTGCGACATGAAGCAATAGACGCTAGGTCGAAAATTAAACGCACCATTCTTTTTTTATTTATAAAAAGTCGAAACTATTCAGAAGCTTGTCCCCATGAGATGACGTATGAAACAGTAGAGTAGACATCGGGATGCCACCAATAACAGACCATGTTTGAGGTCTAACGCCTAAGACTCCTGATTTAAAACGTCTATAATTGGCTTAAATGCATTTTTTGAACCATTCTGAATGTTAGTTAAGACAAATTTAAACAATAACTCACCTTTTGTAAAACGGCTTGAATCCAGCGTTATCCACTTGTGACGAAGGAGCTGACATCTGGCCCCCACCTTGTTGCGAGGTATTTGGGGGCGGCCGTTGTGGCGATTGTATCCTCCCGAAGCTCCCCAGGAAGCCCGCTTGCTGCCCCCCAGTGGAGTATCCGGTGTTGTTGTTCGCCCCTAAGGGCTGCTGCTGCTGCTGCCCCTGGGGCACTCCACTGCCCATCTTCATGCTGGGGGGTGTCTGTGGGGGGGTGTCGGTTTGTACGTCTGGAAAACCCTGAAATCGTCAGATCAGATCTGTTGGTCGATATGTTGAGAAGGGAATTGGGGGACACAATTGTTTTGATTTAAAGCGAGTTTTCTAAGAATGGGGCTAGCATTCAGGGGATAATCCTTTTAACTAAAACTGACCTGTGCTTTTACTTTTTTGACAAATATTATTTTACCTCTAATACAAAACAAATAATACCGTCATTGTAGTGGAAAACACTTGTTTATCTATAAAAAAATCTTCGAAATGATTGATTGCCTTCATCTAGAATTCAAGATTTTAAATAAGTAAGATCCGATAATCCGATATGGTTGCTACTAATTTTTTATGAGAAACATAACCAGATAATAATAATATTTATTTACTTCTTAAACACAATATGAAAAATGAGTAAACGAATATGAAATAAGGGTCTATCAATGTTGCAGATGTGCAAAGAGTTAAAACACAAATCAACGAACCATTTGATGTTTACATTTACTATTACTTAGAGTATGTCATTGCTAAAGAAAATACTTATTCATTCTTTTTTTTTAATTATTCCCAAAGCGTAGGTTCTTTATATCGTCAGATAAATTTACGTATAGTTTTGGTCCTAAATAAAGGTATGATCTCTGTGCTATAGATTTTTTAGGTCTAGACACAACCGTTCCTCGTATTGCATTTCATTACTTAAAAATTTCGATATTTTGACAGATTGCTGTCTATAAGATAAAAAAATATCCAATAATGAGTGCATCTTTCCCCAAAATCCAACTCTGCCCAATGTATAACAATAATCTTTAGTTTACTGTATCAAAAGCTTTCCTCAGGTTAACAAAAACAAGGAATGTAGTTATAAAAATTCTGGTAAATCTATATTTGTTTTTACATAAATTTCATATTTATTGATAGTTGGTTAAGTCGAATAGAATCTCACTTATAACCTGTTCGATCTCGGGACCTGAATTTCATAGACTATTTTCTAACGTTATTACTTAAGATGCCTTGTGAAAGATCTAACGAATTCGATAATTGCTGAATGTAACAACGACGTCCTTCAATAAAATAATTATTCCGGAGTACCGGAAAGTGTTTGAACGTAAAATACAAAATATTCCACAGTAACTTAATTTCTATTCCGAAGTACCAGTTTGACAATTCTGAAATCGTCCTCACCTGTTGACAGTGGCTGGGTAAAAAACCGCCTCCTCCATATCGAGAACTGGGGAGGGCGAACCCGTTCCCCCCAAGCCATTGATTTTGCGAAGACGGGGGAGGGGGAGGCGTTTTGCAGGCCGCGGTGTCCGCCAAGGACCAGATCTTCGGCTTGGAAGGAGGCAAAGGTACTCCGCAGTCCGATGACTTCATCTCCGGCTTCAAACTGTACCCGTTGCCGAGAATGTGATGCATGTTCGTACCCAAGATGTCGTCCTTCCGGTCGTCGTCCGTCAGATCGTCCTCATCCAAGTCTTTACCCGTGCGTTCCGATTTTATCCTACCATGTATGTCTGGAAACGATATAACATATTTATAGTACTTTATTTTAGAACGAAGTTCGGCATATTTCATATATGATGAGCATTCAAGGCTATGCAAAACGTCATGAGTGCAAATACGAAGAAGCTAAAAAGATACTGTTAATAATCTAAGCATACGAAATGCTTCAAACACGTTTTGCATGCGAGTTCAAACATTTAGCACGCGAAATGTCATTCAACATGACCGCTCTTAGGACTATTCCTCTTGTTCTCAATGTAAGCTTTCACTGGAGTCATTTACACGCAAATAGATATAACGGTCGCTTTTAAAATCAAGTAGTGCGCGTTGTCTACCTAATTACACTATTACTTGCTATTGGTTGATAGGTAGGTACTTGAATTTACAAAGATCAGGATAACAGATCAAAAATAGACTCACAAGAGCGATGGTCATGAAACAACTCCTTTATTGTAGCCATACCGTTGTTTCGAAGGTATAAATCGGAAATTGGGGCTCATTCCAAGCCGAAGTTGGGCGATAAATATCCCGTTGCGTCCCCCGGAATCAAAGAAAAGCAAACACTACAGAAGAGATAAACGCGATGGAAGAATCGGACTTCCTGTGAAGGAGCAACCGCGGCAGTTTGAGAAAAAATCCGGGGAGGGTGAGAGGGCATTAATTGAATGAAAAGTTAATGGAAATTAAAGAGCGTAACCCTCTGCCGGCAATTAAGGGCCCGTTGATGGCTGGGGCGAAGGCAGAGAGAGTAAGGGCGCTCCCGCAGATCAGATTAAGGGCGACGTTAAGGGTGACAGGGTTTTATTTGGAGTACGTCTGATTCGGGAATTATACTGTTAGTTAACCTTTACGATGCTGGAGAGCAAGCGGTCGGATTTCATTGGATAATGGGGGAAATGGGATTATTGTTATATAATTTTGGAAGGCGATACCATGGTAAATGCATAAGGCAATGTCTTGGGGGTAGAATAAAAGAAGCTATTTCACATGTTTTGAAAAAGTGACTAGAAGTTTGTCAAAAGAGATCCGAGGGAACAAGTGTCGGATCCAGGGGGGTACCCTTCAATATATCTGAAAAAAAATGATACGTGTTTTACAATTTGCAAACGATTTCTCCACCAGCTTTTCAATTTTCAATTGCCGATACCTCCGAAACCGGCATCTTCTTCAGCCCCCACCACCTTCTGCGAACCACCAAAAAAATTTAAAATTCTTCAGTTGGAACTTCCTCCAAAATCTTTTCTAGATCCACCACTGGAGACAACTTCTCTATCTGTACATGTACAGTAGACCTTACTTACGATTTTATCAGGTGGAGAATAAAAAAAAACCGAGGAAATCCAAGTCAATCTGAAGGGACCCAAGAATCTTCAAGGAAACTTTTGATCCAATATAGTGTTAGTGCTTAGCCCATTTTTCTCTTACATTATGTGCCCTGACAGACTATGCGAACAGATGACTAGTAACACTTCTTTCATTGCTGGGATTTCATTTTAATTGAAATCATGGTGCGAAATTTCATATAACTTTGCAGGACGCACTGTTGCATCATTCGATGGAAATGCTGCGACGGAAGGCAGTGGAAGACAGGTGGTCAGTTCAATGTTTATTTTGACCTCTGCATGACTGAAGGTGCACGATGAGCCTCATAGCTGAACACCAAGTATCACAAAACTGATCCCCAAATAAACCAAACATCTCTTTACCTGTATCATCCCTTTTCTCATCATCATCCTTGTCCTTCTCATCGCCGTCGGATACCAGCGCGTCATCGTCGTCGTCCGTCTTGTTCTTGGGCTCCCATGTCATTTTGTTCTCCTTTTTGAGCCTCCGCCTGGCGTTCGCGAACCACGTGGACACCTGCGTCAAGGTCATCTTGGTGATGATGGCCAACATGATCTTCTCGCCTTTGGTCGGATAAGGGTTCTTCTTGTGTTCGTTCAGCCAGGCTTTTAACGTTGCCGTCGATTCTCGTGTCGCGTTTTTCCGACGGGCGGCCAGATCGTACCCTGCGCCGTACCTGGAAAAAGGAAACAGAATGTGTTCATATATAGTCATTCAGTCCGCTGCAAATGTTAACTTAAGCTAACAGATAAACTCTCCACCACGCGTGTAAAAAATTATCTGAGATGGAATCGGACAGCATGGCGACATCGATGAAAATTTTTCACAGCTATTTTTACTGCTCTTCGCAATAATTAGGAATATTTCAGAGGTTTGCGTCTCATGCATAGATGGCGCTGTGACCAAATACAGGGTGTTTGAGAAGTTCCTGAACCCTACAATAATTTGTGAATTAATAATGCAAGAAAAAACTACATCGCGATTTATGAGTTTTCCCAGCTATCCAATACTGGCCTTGATCAGCCTTCAATGTCATTTCAAGGTCAAGTTGAGTTTTTTAAATAGGGCTCGTAAATGAATAGTCGAAAATTAATTTTGATCTTAGATCTCATCTAACGGTGACGTTGGATATGACCTTAATCATGATAATCTTCAAAGTCATATGAAGGTCAAGTCGATTTTTGTAACCAAGGAGCAATCCTGAAAGTACGGTAAAGTGAATTTGGGGATTGGGAAGTTTCCTGAATTATCAAGAAACTAAGGAAAACTTCTGTTGTACCTTGATGGTCAAGTCCAAGATCAAGTTTCAAAAATGGTCAAGGACATATTCCCTTTTCTCAGGTCAGATTCAAGGTCACCATTGGATATTCGGGGGAAATCATAAAAATAGTATCTCGACCACTGGCTTTCAAGTTATCCTATATCTGAGCTCTCCGCCTTTTGGGACATATCACGTCTCTCTTGGATAGACTTCGGTTTACAGAGAAAAAGGAGGGATCTATATGCGGGCCATCCTTGAAGGTGTTGCCAAGCTGCCATGAAATATTTAAAAAACGCTACATTTATACTAAGCAGGAAGGAGTTCAGCTCTGTTCATTGTTTTTGAAGGTCAAAAACTCATACAAAATAAATAAGCATATCATCTTAAGGCCAGGCTGACTAGATAACTCGCGGCCATGTTAAATAGGTCGACGATTGGTCGAAGCATTTCCAGGTTAGAAAACTTCAAACTGACGTACTTCATTTATTACAATAGGTCCGCTAGTGCCCTAAAGGTTAAATAACTTTTCTCGCGAAAAGTGTAATTTTTATACCTTTATCGACTGAAAAATCTATTTCAATATCCCCACGATGAATAAATATCCAAAACAAAGTAAATTTGAACAAAAACTACAAGTAAAGGTCAATGAATTCATCCAAAAGCCATGTTTTTGAAGTCATTTCTTATCTCCCTCTAATTTTCTTCGCCTTGTATAACTGTCGTCTCTTTATATAAGTACTCTTTGGTTTATATTTATCTTTATTGTACCAGATCATAACATGCCATGTTCTACGGGAAAACCTTGTGAAAGGCGCATATGCAAATTCAACTACGTATTTCGTGCAAAGAAAAGTGAGCAAATGCTGCTGTTTGTAGAACCCGCCGACGAAACTATGTAAATACGGTCCTGGCATGGTAGTAATGGTGGCTTTCATGAAAATAAGGCCGAACGGTACTTACGTGCGCGTCTACTTTTATGTGTTTTAGGTGTTTTAGCAATTTAAATACAAAGCATCACGTAATATTATAAATATTTATGCGCTGTTTATAAATCTAGGTATAGGTAGTGGCGTTTTTAGGTAATAAATAGACGGAAATTCAGGTAAAATTTCAGAAAGATATTCCTCGCAGCGGCGGAATTAGGAAAATTTATGTTTACTTCGCGCAACACGAATGTATGATTTATATCGGGCGCTCTCATGAAATATGAATTTCTATGGGAATTTTGGAACCTGTTTGTTTAACCAAAGTGGCGCAGAAGGGGGTTGGAATGAATCGTAAGAATATACATAGTTATTTATGGCTCGTGTCGGAATAGTAGTAAATTTCTCGGCATGAGACAACATCATCAAAAAAAGGAATTTCATTAACAGATACTTTTTATGGGATAAGGTATAGTGGCACCGGTACTTTCTAAATTATATTATCAAATTACAAATACATACATCCAAAATTCTTAAACACAAGCTGCCCAAGGAACAGGGCTACTTAGAAAAATGTCAGTGATTCTATGGAAACGACTAAATAACCTAAAATCATCCATGCTGAATCTAAGGTGGAGAAGACAATCGATGTTCTAAAATTAAAGTCTACGCTTTAGAGAATATGTTTTACTAAAGAAACTTAATTGAGATTGGCAGTTCAACCTAGATACATGTGTAAGTTTCATGTATTTCTACAAACTAACATATTCAAAGCAAAACATTTATTTCTTATTCATTTGACTCGTTCGTACTGTCGTATAATTCTAGCAAGTAAAGAATAAAGGTGTTAAAAATAAGTCCAATGAATTTGTAATACATTCATTTCTGCGATAGATTTATTACATGCAAAGCCAGTTAATCAAATGTAGCATTAGCGGAACAAACTAGGTTAGCTGTTTATCTCCTAATTCTAGCATTGTGACTAAAAGGAACCTTGAAGGCGCATTTGAGTCCTTATATCTTGAGCGGCGTTTGAATTTTAAATTACTTTGATATCGCGTCACGGCAGAAGCATAAGCGTTTTTGGGGGAAGGCAACAAGGGAACCGACTTCCTGGCTTCTTTTTTACTTCCCAAGCCTACTGGCGGGGGAATATTCCGATGGCAAAAACTTTTATAACCGCTTATAACTTAAGAAGTACCGCCACTTTTTTAAACCTAATAAAACAACCATGAGTATTGATGCAGCGTTGCTTGCAACGTTCTAATGTTCTGCAACGAACAAAATGAAACAGAGCACAAAAAACAAAAAAATGGGGACGGGACGGACGGCTTGCCATATTTTTTAAAAGTCGAGCCTTCGGGTTGAGGTTCTTTCCTTCTTTTTGTTTTTAAATGGAGAGCAAAAACAGGTAACGCCTAGTATTTGATCGAATGTTAGTTTCTCGTTTTCTCTTGGTTACGGGCGCGTGACAGGTTCTCAGATGAAACTTAAGAAAACTGACAGATGAACGCAAGATTATTGCAATGGATACAGTTTAGTGAAATAAACAGGACATTCAATCTGCTGTTTCCTTTTTCAGTAAATTCGGTACAATATTCGACATCATTTTAAAACGAATTAATTAATCACTGAGACTGTTCAATTGTCGATATTTGAGAAATTGTTCATGTACAAAGTACAATATAGACATGTTATGAAAAAGTTACAATTTAACAAAAGTGGCGTTTATACAAAATCGATCCTAGAAAAAGCATACAAGTAGGTATCAACATAGAAATAGTTTGGATATGACAATTCGACAGCACGCAAATTTCTGTGACTAAAATATATTGACTTATGGAATAAAAACGATGTTCAGTCATGAATTTCATTAAAATACATATGTTTAAACTGTATTAAGTTGACGAATGCTGTTAGAAGATGATTGTACAGATCTAAACGTGGAAAATTCTGTTTTGATATTGATACTGAGAATTTAGGTGCCATCGAGTCATCAAATGATTTAGTCTGGTAACTGTGAAAGTTAAGAGTTTGTAAAGTAGTTATCTATATTTTCATGTATATCTATTAAGGTGGCATATATAATGTTGAACAGGCATAGTTTCAAAATTTTTAACGTAATTTCTGCAAGAATCGTAATATCCTAAGCCGATCATAGTTCTAACGGCTTTCTTCTGAATAATGAATAGTTTATTTTACTAGAACTACCCCGTAAACAATACTTGTAGGTTGACCTGTGATTACAATTTCCGCAAAAGAAAAAGGGATTTGGGAATGTGATGAATCCAATTTAATGACTAATCTAAAACTATGCCAAGGATTCTAACATTTCTACCTATCGCTACGGACCTACTAGTGGATAAGATCATACTTTCAAGTTTCTCTCCATTTAGTTTTAGATAGTTAGCAATGAACAATTTGTCTGCTTTTTCTAAATAGACAGTGGCTCTTAGATTGAAGATTGAACCCTGGGGCAACCCACAGTAAATGTCGGATAAATCGAATACAGCATCGTTTATCACCAATGTAATTTTCTAAATTAGTGAATGAATCATATGTAAAAAATAAAACTACTATGGAAGATGCATTTTTGTCTGAAAAAGAAGTATTTATTGATAAATTTCCAAAATGCATTATTTGCAATGAGCCTAGCCCAAACCGTAAGTTTGTTTACTCGTAAATATAGCATCCGTATAAGCGCGATATCTCCTGTCTGAATTTCAAAGTACGAACTGCTGATGCAACTGATTTCGCTGGAAGCGTTCCTGCCTTACGGAAAATGGCGGAGTTTCCCAGTCGGGCTGCCGCATCAGCAGCAATTCTCTACTTCCCCATCAAATTGAAACTTAACTGGGAGAACACCTCTCCAGGATAATTTTCCGCTCTCAACATCGAGCGTTCGGGAGTTCTCCCTCATTCTCTCTCTGTCTCTCTACTCCGCACTCCGTCTGACGTCACTTTGATATAGTGCCTCTATGTATGAAGTTGGATGTTGGATGGAGCTGCTGGGGCTCCGTTGCTTTGCTCCCCGGCCTACCGTTGGAAAGCCAGTGCCGGGTTGTTATTTTCCAAAGGACATGTTTTTGCGTGAAAATATGCCAGGGAAAATGACGGAGCGCTTGGGATGTTGACACGGTAGCATTTGGCCGAAGAGACGTCCTAGGTCTGAACGACCGCTTCACTAACTTCTCTTGACAATCGCTGGAGTCTAAATGTATCTCATGGCAGGATGTGTGAAGGGATTGTTACTTTAATGATAGTCATCTTGCTCGGTTATCTCTGATTCAGGGGTAACGTAGGCGCTGTGGGATATTGACACGGCAACGTGATATCCTGGTTCCTGGACTGCTTTTTTGTAACAATCGCTAAACTTGACACGTCTGTACGTACTCGTACACCTAACGACCAAAGGGTTAGTCTGTGCGACGATCCCATGATTCAGTCTGTGTGACGAATCCTTACTAGTAGTTGGGGCACACTAATGTAATG